TAGCGCGATGAACTATTCAGCTGGAGGCTATAAAAAATCTCAAACCTAGCCATTCATGTATGTATTCTAATCACTTGCAAGCTAGTTAGTACACAGAAATGGTGGGGGTTGGCGAGAATGTGTGTCTCAGTAATAACATAGAGAAAACATTCTATGGCACAGTGTGGCTGCTATTATTCCCTCTATGCTGTGCAATTTGTATTTGCTTAGAATGTTAATGAAATGAATCATTTAACATAAACAAAGCATGTGATTTCAAATTAACTGCAGCTCTGCAAACACACGAAGCAGACCCATCAGACTGTGGCAATCTGATGCTGACCTCTGCTGGACTGTTCTGCTGCTCAATGCAGGATTGTTACCACACCGGCTCCACTTTCCAGTCAAATCCAGAGCTTTCTTTCTTAAATACAATGTCAGCTAAATAAAATAAAAAACCCTTCCCACAATTTACGTAAGTGAAAAACTTTCTTGTTTTGCTGAACTATATGAGAATTAAGATGCAAGTGTTGTTCAGACTTCTAATCACAATGAACTTTACTTATTCATTCCCCTCTCCTATGTGTGCACATATAGTTTATCAGAATCAGCTTTATTGGCCAAGTATGTATGTTGAGCACACAAGGGATTTGTCTCTGGTACTGATGTTCTCAATGCGCTTTTGTAGGCGGCAAGAAAACATGTGCATTCAGACAAAAGACAAAATGTAATGTAATGCATTATACTGAGAGGTATTTGTTATTTAGCATAGCCTCATTAATATAAAGGGTGCTGACAACATATTAGAAGCACTTGCCAGTATAACACAATACACTGTTGCTAATAAACACACACACACACACACACACACACACAAAAACACATTCACAATAGGGATATCCAGTCACCATAAAGCCCCATCAACACTAAAAAACACACATTTTGCCTTTTTTTTTGTTGTACTCCAAGTTAAGGAAGCCCCACTTCTCATTTCCTCCCTACTTTTGCTGTCTCTCACTCCCCCCACACACTTACACACACACCAGCACTGCCACCCCACACAGCTCAATTAACAGTGAAGGTCCAAGGGTGTGAATTATTTAACGATGAATTATTAATAAATAATAACAAAGAGGCTAAGGGGAGACGCAGCTTGGTCAATTAAGGGAGAAGGGAAAAATGAAGGAGAGCGGCAAGGGGTTGGAGGCAGGGGATCTGCAGCTGATCTGATCTGCGCCTCATCATTATCACTGCCCGTCAGACACAATTACCTCAGCGGCGCTCTGCCCCAGACTTCAAACAACAGCCCGTCCCTCTGCATCTGACAACTTTCTACTGCTTATACACAATACACATTCTTTACTCCATCACAAGATTGGATATTAGTCATATATTACAACATGGCCATGAAAAGACACTTGTTTATGATTGGCAGGTGTGTGGTAAAATATTGCATATTTAAAATATTGAACAATAAAACATGAAACTTTTGAACTTTTTTTAGGCAGCATACATTAAACTGCAGTTAATGTAGCAACAACACTTGTGCGTCTCTAAAAGCTTCGCTGAAAACAGAACCTTGAATGAGGAGTACACGTTCTGCTATAGGGCAGATAAGTTCCTACAGCGAAAAAGGCCTGTGTTAAACAATTACTGTAACACCCAGTGAAACAACCTGACTGGGAGTTACAGAGGCTACAAACTAATTATAAAAAGTAGATGAAAGAAATCCAAATACCACAAAAGAGTCCTGTAAAGTAACTCTGAATATACAAGCCACTGAGTGACAGACTGCAGGTACTATATACTCAAAATGAAATATTACACAGCAGTTTTCTGGATCTCTCTCTGTGTACACATATCTCTTCTGTCTAATTAACTCAAATGAATTTGACTTGTCGTTGTTCATCTATAATTTTCCACAGGCTTTTGATGTTCAGTATGCACATATTAAAAATGCAGCATTAACTTGTCTCTAACCCTGAGAGCCTCTGAGTGTAGGAATCTCTCAAAACATACAGTTTGGATTTGGTGTGACATGCTGACAGAACTGTAGGAAATATTTGAGAATCCCTTCTTTTAATGCCATCAATAAACTGTAAACTGAACTGGTTTAAAATATATTATAGCTGATGTAATTCATCTGTGTTTTGAACCACACGATGGCGCCAAATATTCACAAGGTGTAAGTCTCATAGTGTAGTGCTGCTGTTTGATCATTTCCATTAATTTAATCAGTAAGAATTGAACGAGTTTTTATCATATGTGTAAGAGTTCAGTGGTGAATACAGTGTTTATGTCTGTGGCGTTATTTATTGTGCATCATCATTTTGTGATGCTAACCCATGTGCACAAGGTGGCAGCCTAATCACAAGTTTATGAATCAGAGGGGTGCCTTCTAAAACACTTGGTTTCCTTGTTTGACAGATGAGCATTGAGCAATGTATGAGCTTCTTTAAGTAAAACTTACAAAACTTGGGCCATCAATCCCAGCAACAATGTAGCTGAGCAGGTTCTGTAAGTCCGTATCACTGCTGTAGTCATCCAACCTGCAATATAGACCAGTAGAACAAATAATATACTGCAAAGATCCAACAAAAAAAAAATCACAAATCCATACTATACTGACATATACTACCTATAGTATAATCTTCCATGAAGTAGGAAAGAATGTCTGTGTTTAATTAACTCTGTGCAAGGAAATTTTTATATTAAAGCACAGCTCAGTGGTCTACAGCACAATAGCCAACTAATTAGAAAATGTAAAAAAAAAAAAAAAAACTTGGCAATGTTCCCATTAATACCTTCATTCAGCAGGGGAGCTGACTGCAGCCTTACCCAGTCAGCTTGTGGCCAATATGGGAGCATAAATCTAGCAACAGGGTGGTGAATAATGGCTGCCCAGAAAAAAAAAGAACAGTAAGTGGGCAGAAGATTTTGTCTGCAGCGTCATTAGTTTGTCTCAATTAAGGCAAACATGCATGTGTTGACTGACACTCATTAATTTTGACAGTGCAGTTCATTTGTTGTGCACCAACTTTACTGTGTGTGCAGCAATTTGGCAATGGCTTCATTCTTCGACTTCTCAAAAGCTGAATAAGGGTGAATGTAAAATAAAAAATAAAAAAAATAGAGGAATTTGTTTCAAAAGGAAAAGACCAACCTCCTTGCCAAAAGCATATGGATGGAAACCAGCCTTCCTGTCATCCCTCTGTGTCTTTTCTCAGGGAGTATTGATGACTTCCATCACTCTTCCAGGATTCACTGCACTGGTTAGTGGGTATAAGGCAAGAAGGTCAGACAAATGAACAGCTACTTTTAGGAACAATGCCTCTTCTCTTGTGTATCTAATATGTGTTAGTAGTAAAGGTTTTTATAGTATTTAGCCTAGGAAGATCAAAGAAAGAAGTATTATGTCTCACTTTACATTAACTCCTGCTTTCCTGGGCCTTTATGGCGATTAATGTAAACAAAGGTCTACAGTTACTTCCCATCACAAAATAGCACAATCTTTTTAAGGCACATGCTCAAAGCAGTTTGCTTAATATTGTAGGTGGCTGAAGGACAGTAGGTAAACGGACATATGCAGTGTTGTCTGTTGAACTGGCTGCAGCAGCCAGAATCAATGGTATCCTAAATGTGATTTCTCAGACTGGCGTTTTGACTTGTCATACATTAGAACGAAAGCCCTGAGAGAATTACTTTGAGCCGGAGATGAAAAACTGTCATCACTCAGGCTGATTCAAAGTAATGATGCCCAGATCCCAATGCCAAATAAACATAAAACTTTTATATGTTAATTAAAAGCAACTGTGTGCTATGTGGTAACCAAAGACAAAGGCTGCTTCCTTTTTCCTCTGTTCCTCTCGCTCTCTCTCTTTAACTAAAATCCAGTTTAAAATGACAAAACTGATCACTTCGGCGCCTTCTCATAAACTCTCACAACAAATCAGAGCAAATTTTACCTAATGAGCTCGTCATTTATTATGTTAAATAACTAGTATGGTAGGAGGGGGGTAACATACGCTAAAGAGTTAACCAGATCAGAACAAATATACTCTCATTCTGACACTAAAATTGTAAGTCAAGCAACAAAAACAAGCTTTAAATTCAACAAGACCTATCGTGAAGTGAAGCCAGTGGAGTCATACTTATCATGTTTATCTTTGTATGACTAGACAACAGTGTTAGTGCATTACTCTCTGAAAGAAGTAGCAGTGGGTGATTACTTTTTCAGTAACAGTGGATTCCAGTGTTTGCTGTCTTACCTGGTGCTGGATGGGAGAGTTTCTTGCTTCTCCCTCGTCACAGCGAGTGGGCCACTGGGTCAGGTGAGATGAGAGTAATGTAAAGTGTAACCTCACTAATTACATATGCTGCTGCATAATAAAGTAATTTTGGACATTCCAGCCCAATGAAGTTGCCTACAGAGCAATTATTGATTAGTCAAACACACCCAAAGGCAGGTTAACTTCTCTCTTAGACTGTCTAAGTAAGTAACAAAGGTACAGCTTAACTTCACACATGTCAATTTCAAGTTGTGGATTGGAAATGCAAATCTCAAGCAGTCTGCTAAGCCTCATTTGAGTGTTGCTTAAGATCCCATTTACATAATAATACTGAGCTCCAATAGCAGCCAAAGTCACTTGCTGTGTGTGAATGTAGTGTGGCATATACACTATGCAAGAGTATGCTGCCTTTGTGCATGGCTAATGGGTCTGCCAGGTTATACTTAACGTTATATGATTTGGTGATCCCCATGTTCATAAGCTTAGTGAAAATGAACAGGTAATAATAGTGTGAATATGTCACACTTATGTAAAATATACTGGCTTAGCATATGAACAACGTTTTGGCTACCTTTGTGTAGCCGGTTCAAGGTCAAGTCTCTAATATGCAAATGCCACACCGCGTGTTCCACCATCTGTGGTTTAAGCAGCCAACCCACACAAGAACATCCAGCCGTGGTTACGGGCGGCGCGTCCACGAGCACAAGTTGAAACTGATGTCAGGCACATGTCAGGGTTTGTTCACTGGGGTTGGGAGGCACATACAGTTCAGCTGCTCCAGGTTTCCTGTTGGATGGCTCATGCACAGACTCTACTGAGAAAGGGAGCCGAAAAGGAAGCGGAGCGTGCGCGCACGTTGTCAGGAGGAACTGGTTATGCTGCGCCTTCCTCTGTGCCATATCACTAGCTATCATCACAGCTGTCGTTATTCACACTAACAGCAGCCCGTTTTGAACTAGAACACCGGAATCCGAGGCTGCTGTGCCCGGCAATGCGCCATCAGCCCCGCTACGTCGCCAACACGGTTAAGCGCTGAGAATGGCTTCACTGAGGATGGTCGGAAAAGTTACGGGGAGACTTTTGGGAAGTGTTCAGCTTCTTCACTGCGGTTCCAAAAGTGCTCGCCCGGCTACATGTCTTCACCAGGTAAATGAAACTTTTACCTAGGAAGCTATTTGAATTCGTGCTGGGTTTATTTACACCGCCGCTATTCTGCTGACCCGATTTCCTGCTTTTTGAACACAAAGGTTACCGTAGTTTGGCAAACTGTGGTCGCTCGTGCATTCTTTGTTTTCTGTAACGGTGTCTTGACTTGTTCTAAAATAGATGTACATAAAAAGAAGGTAGTTGAACATGATTAGTATTTTACATTTCTTCAGATGGAGATACTTAACTTTTGGGAAATGCTGTCGTTCTTCTTGTCACCACCTACTTCTGTTTTTATATTTTTCATTACAGGAAAAACAAATAAATAATTCACATGCATTAGCCTCTCTGGCTCTACAGCGATTTAGGTAGGCCAAACATGTTTATAAGACTGATCAAGCCCATCAGCCTTGGGAAGTGTGTACATTATACCTCGTTGCTAAAGCAGTGTTTATTCATTTATTCCTCTGAGAAAGATGTCAGCCATCCCGAGAAAGAGACAATGATTAGACTGCTAAGTATACTCCTAGAGTTGTGTCTCTGCCTCCACATTCCCAAGAGACACCACTTACATTGCTATACCTTTACAATAATATCTTATTGTATCATGTGTCAGTATTGTGCATCACTGGGTGCTCATCTGTAGTTCATCTCTGCTCAGTCATGTGATCAAAAGCTGTGTGCAGTGCAAAAGATACTGCAAAAAAATTACTTATATTTTATAGCCCATCTTATCATCCATTGCAAGAAATTGCGGAGGTCAGCTAAGTCGTGAGCAGGCCGATCCCAGCCGGACCTGACAGTGCAGGGTGTAAAGGATTGCTGAGCGCCATGATAGTCTCATTACAGAGTGACAATTCATGTCAGTTTGTGGGATTGGAAAAAAAAAAAACCCCAGTATATCGGTTAGACAGGCGAGCTGACTCACTCCCACATGAGGGAATGACTAAGATGACATCTATTTTTATACTGAACCATATATGAAATCCAACTTAGTAGTTGTTCTGTAGGTTTTTAAGTATTATGGGGAGGATTCTTTCTTTTATTTAGCTGAGGACCGTATAGACATACAGGTAGACAGGACCACAGGGGAGAAAGATTGGAAATGACATGCAACAGTTGCACAGTTGCAGATTGTGTTTAGCTGTTCAGAATTGAGATGCATCTCTTTGGATAGATAGGAGTGTTGTCATATTTATGTCATTTGTTTCGTAAAAGCAGCCATTACCTAATAAGAGTCCACAGAGACAGCATCTGCTCTCATTTTTGTGCTGCCTATAGCAGAAAACGCCTATACAGGGAAGCGCTAGAGAGTTTGGCTTCTATGCCAGTAAGTGATGGTGCTGTCAGATGATTTTTTTTTTTCCAGACAACACTATAATACTAGACAGGTACGCATAATATGATGGATCTTGAAATCTTGCTAAGCAGTGCAGTGCTGGGAGATGTTTGACTGACCTGCTGTACTTTCAGTGCCAGTGCTGAGTTTATTCTGTAGCAACTGCTCATTCTTCATTGCTGAGCAGTAGCACACAAATCAACCATATGACATCTTGGGAAATAACATTTGTTTGCAGTTTTCTCTTGAGTCTGCTGAAGGGATCAATATGCATCCAGTATGGAGAGGTTCAATAGGATGAAGAAGGAGGAACTGCTACTGTAGCATAGCGCCATCAAAAGTGGAAAAAAACATGCAGAATGTCCAGAGCTGTGTTATTTTCACAATATGTCCTGTGTATATTAAATTCAGACATTGTAGTTTTAGAAGGCCACATTGTGATGAGTCAACATGACTTCATTCACGTTTCCAGCCTGCATTTCTGTTGTTTTGGTTAGCCATGCTGCTAACGTAGCCTACTCCACCTTAGCACCAATTTCTACCACCAGTGTGTCGGCACTGATGGATTAAAAACACTGTTTAACATCCAGTGGCCTAACTAACAAACACACATGGCGTGTCATTATGGTGCATTAACTGAAATGAAATAATAATTGTCCTATTTATGCCTGAATTAGAGACAAATATCTGCTGTTTCACAGAAACTTGTAAACCCCTATACATCGAGACAGCAGAGACAAGCATCAGTTTGATGTTTCTATATGACAGCTGACTCATCTGCTGTCTCACGCCTTTCATCATCTGTGCAGGCACTATAAACAGGAAGAGGTCTAATTTCAGCAAGCCTGACTACTTGTTTCTCAGTGCCAGGACTAACCACCCCAGGCTTAGAGCCTGGCCTTTATCAGGACATCACCCACAGAAATAGAAGAGGACTGAGAGACTCCTGGCAGAAGCATGTGGAAAACACGAGAGGGAGTATCTCAGACTTGTGTTTCACATACAGTATCAAGGACCTATGCCACTGTGGACCACCTGGTACTAACATGTGATCTGGTGCATCCAGTTTAGTTCCACCAAAGGACTGATGCATGTGATGCCCCTTTCTTCTCCCTGCTTTCCTGTCTGCTTCTCATCTATTAACTGTCCTTTAACCTTCTTGCTAACCACTGCTCCACTGTGCTGCCCAGAATCATTTCCAGTGCCTTTTTAACTTTAGCTTTTCTTACTGAGTTTTTTTTTAAGTTCAAGATCCAACAAACAAGCCATCCAGTGTTCTCTTTGTCCTGTGATGTTGAGCTGCAGGGTAAAACACTGTTATTTGGGAGTATCTTAGTATGAGTCAGTGCAGGCTCAGCAGTAATTAGCTATATCATAATTATAAAATGATAATAGTAATTAACTATATAATAAAAGTCGCATTAATACGGTACAAAGACCTTCCTCTGCAGCACCCAGTGAAGGCGCACTAACAAACAATTACCCTCTTCATATCGTAGATTAAGCACTTGGAAAGCTGTCAGGAACTTTAAGGCTCTGCTTTATGGACCTATGACAAACGACCATCTTCACATTCCTCTCATTCATTAAATAGCCTAAGTCTGGCTTTTGAATTATGAGACACAGTTTTCATGTTTGAATCTTTTTATCTCTGATTTTTTTTTTGACATTTTTAGTTTTTTACTGGTTTATAATTTGATTATCAGTGTGTACAAAATATTTGCATGAAATATGCTGTGCAAACTAAAACCATGTGTTTCTGCTACTGTAACTCGACACATTCGTCGTGCAGGTGTCTTCATCCCACTGTGTTTTTCTTTTTGTCCTCCAAACCTGACTGGTTCATTAGTTTGATGAGAGAAGACAAATGCTTCAATGCAAATCACCTTGACGGTAGAGTGCTGGTGCTTCTCAGTCAAGATGCCAACAGGGACTAATTTGATTTATTTTTTTTTACCTCTTGGCAGCTTTCATTTATCACACTCGCACGTTTTCCTTATCTTCTGCCTGCGAGATACTGTAAGTCATCCTGTTGTGATTACATGTGCATGTGGAAAAAAAAGTCACTTTCCCTTTGTTTAGTCATATCAAACCTGTAGCAAGAGTGGGAGGAGATATACACTGCATTTATTTATACAGAGTAGGTTGGTACCTTTATGAGCAGGCTATAGCTCAGCCCTGACAGGATTGTTTTTATTGCACTCTGTTTTGGTCAAGAGCACACTAATTTCATTGCACATGACTAAGTAATGACATTAAAGTCTATTCCATTCATAATGGAGAGGTGTGCTGTGAGACTGCAGGGAAAATGTTAAAGTCTATGCCATTCATAATGGAGTGGTGTGCTGTGAGACTGCAGGGAAAATGAGGCTGCCTGTCACCATGATAACCCTGATCATTGCTCAAGCAGGACACCCTGGTCTGCTTCACTTCAGTCGAAGGAGATGGCAGTTTGTTTCCATACTGCTCAGCTTTCACTCCCTGCCGGCTCTCTCTCCTCTTTCCCGGTTGGTGTGGCATAAATGAGAAATACATTGCTCCGGGGATAAATATACCTTCACTGGATTGTTTTGAGAAAGAACTGCTATTAAGTTATTTGGTGATGTGGAGCGGCTGTGGAGCAATTTCCCTGCAGCTCCAAATCGACTCCATAAATGTGCGAAGGACAATGGATAGACAGCGAGCACCTCGTACTCTGAATATTGATTATTTTTGTAATTGAGAAGTATGTTTTGCTTTGAAAGGTGCACAAATGTTCAATTGAAAGGCCAGTGGTAGCGTCAGTTCTCATGTATGGTAGCAAGGCCCACCTTTTCAGCAGGCTGTGTGCAGGTTGTGTGAGATGACGGTGTGATTTGCCTGTTACTCGTGTTTACTGTGACTTGTTATATAGAGTCATTCCACTTCTCCAGTGTTTTATATGTTTAATGGGTGTGTCTCTCTTAATGACAATAGCCTCAGTGAAACTGGAAAAGCCACTGACTTCATGTACAGTGGAAGTTTGCACTTTTGCTTGTGCCCTTAGCCCTCCCACAGGGACAGAGCTGACCTTTCTATCATTTGGATGCAGGTCCTGTAAATGTTCACTCTTTACCTTACCTTGTCTAAACAGCATGTTAAAACATGAAGTTCACAGCTAAAATGAGCGTCAACTGAGATGCATCATAAATTCACCTGAATGCAGGTAATTTACAGTTATAGTGTGTCAGTATTAGCTTTAGCTCAATGACTGCTGTGAGCACAAGTACAGCTTCACAGAGCCACCAGTGTGGCTGTAAAATTTATTGTTAATACCAAAGCATCTCTCAGATTGGCCCCACAAGGCACATAAAAAGCATTATTACACTAGCTCCTTGCTGTCTGTCACTGAGTTTAATAAGACCAGGAGGCTCATGCACTGCTGTTCAGTACTCGGTTTCTGGGGCCCGTTTAAAAAAAATTCAGTTCTCAGTTTCAGACTCTAAGACCAACTGTCACATAACCGTCCTCCCTAGAGATTATTTACTGTAAACATATAACATACCGCTGCCAAAAAGCTGCATGTGGTGGTGAGACAGGGAAAAGGGGTGGTATTTGTAATGCAGTTTGCTACAGACAGTAAAAACACAAGGCCAGGAGCCTGACTTTGGAAGCTAACTGTTATTCATCACCCTGGCCACATGGGATTTGTATATTTGAATGTTGCATATAAACTGCCTACAAGCAGTCAGCTGTTGAATTGACACCTGCCATGTTTTTACACACACACACACACCCAGTTCATTAAGGAAACAGTCTAGCCTCACCCCTGATGTGTAGCTCCAGATCTGCTGTTTTCACATTAGCGGGACACCAGTGTTCAGTGTGAGTACAAACACCGCTCAGCTCAGTCCCGTGTTAAACTACTCTTGACATGAAGCGTTTTCTAATGAGTGACATGGTGTTCACATTTTATTCCCATGCACCTACTGTGTGTGCTGGGAGCCCGAGGCTGTACTGCTCAGCTCAAATCAAAATGAGGCACTATGTCTGCTGGAGGATGAGGAGGAGGACGCGCTGCTTCACATACTGGTAATGTGTTCTTGCTGTTCGGTGATAACTGCAAGCAGCCACAGAATAACTCATAGCTGTATCTCTTATCATATACTAATAACTAGATTTTTCAGGGAGAGCGTAGTTGTGTACAGATGAGTGTGTTAGGGTGCATTAGGCTAGTTTTTCCTTGGGGGGGGGGGCTCATGAGATGAATTTAAAGAAGAATGATTGAAATTAAAGCAGTCAAGGCCCAGATAGCCTATCTTTGGTCCTACATATGAATCAAGCTCCAGACACACTGGTTTTTAAACTTTTTAGTTAGACCTCCCCGCCTCCTAAATGCTCACTGGCTTCCTTTCTGTGATAACCATAATGACAGAAGTAAAAAAGGCTTTTGTTTCCTGAGGATTACATACAAATTTGTTAATGAGGTAGTGCATCACACTGTGAATGAATATTATATATTCCAAAAAAAGAGCCAAAACTTGAGCTGCTCAGCTTGTGTGAAATCTCTAGCTGTTATTTTACTGTTGTCACAGAGCTTTGCCACCCACACCCCAGAACACCACAGCAAACAGTGGAGAGTAGGATTGTTTTTATGTGGACAAACATACACAGTATGTGGATCGTTGTCTTTGTGGTTCAGATTAATTCACCCACAAAAGCCTCTGGTCATATGGACAGTTACTTATTGCTTTATATAGCTGTTTGTTCTGTTGCCCCATCACCTAACCAATGGCCTCTGCTCCACCACTGTGCCAAGCCTCCAGTCCTGACTATTTTCTCAGTCCATGAAAATGGACAGCCACCTTGTTCCTCTTTAATGTGGTATTGATCGCACTCTGGAAGACAGAGAGGGTGCACACAGTGGTTGCCACATCCCTACTCTAGATGTCAGTTGGACAAAGATTATTCATCTGGGTCTGTTCTTGAGGTTCACAAGGTCCAAGTGTTTCTGCACCAAGAATCTAGTGGTCAGATGTTTCAGTAGAACACTTGAGATTGTAAAATTGTTTATCAGTAAACTATTTTAGTCTGTTGCCTAACCCATCTACTGTACAGTAAAATTCTGTCTGTGGCCTAAAAATTTTAGGCTGCTTTATACAGTAATCCAGTGGCTTTGCATTTCAAGTATGTGTTTGCATGTCGACTAAAAGGATTACACTCAAGGAATGTCAACAGCAGGACAAAAGTGCCTCTGCTGATGAACTGTTCCTTGGATGTGTTCTCTACCATCAGGGGTGTGGGAGAAACCTGTGGTCTTGCAGACTGATGGCACATTAACATTGAGAGACACACTGGCTTTTAATTAAGCATTGAATACAGCAGTCTGAATTTTAATGAAAAGTCCTGCATCAGCAAAATAAGAGCAGGTTTAATCAGCAGAATCTGTACTCTCAGCTGGTCAGGTTACACACCGTAAAGAACGGGTGGCAGTAGCATTTCAAAATGCAGCACTTGCAATAGAAGACATTCATATTAGCGTAAAAGCACTCAGATTGAGCCAAAGCACTGAAAATCCAATTGATTTGACTTGTTGGCAGGCTGTTTTGAGTGGGTCTTTGTTTCAGATCCTTCATTTCAGGAAGCTCTGGATCTGTTTGCTCTCCAGTGTCTGCTAACATGATAGTTTACCGAGGGAGGGAGGGATGGACTTCTGAGCTCACAGAGCAAACTGAATAGGCTGACAACACTCTTGCTTTTTTCTTTATTATTTTATACCCTCCTGCTTCTGTTTTCAGTCCTGTTTCCTAAAAAAAAATCAGCAGAAGTGGCTTCTGCTTGGAAATTGTCCAGCTCTGTTCTACAGCTCACTCCCACCCCCCAGTGGTAATATACTATTACTACATCTATTACTACATCCGCATAACAATAAACTACTCTATGTAACATGGCTGCCCCCTGTTTGTAACCATACATTCTTGGTGGTAAAAAAAAACAACAAAACAACAAACAACTAAACTCTCAGTAAGTAGACTCCCCCTCGTTGTTTTACAGATGTGTCTCTGAAGTACCAACATGGCCGTTTGGTTCTGGAGGTCCCGTTGCCATCCAGGAAAGAGAAGTGTGCGTTCTTCCTCAAACCCATGCTGATGAGTGTAGGAGACCTGATCGCTGATCTGCAGAAAGAGGACCCCGGAGCTACCGCATCTATTTACTCTAAGGGTATGTATGGGATGTGTAAGCCACACTTATACTGGGTCAATGACATTCTTCAGGTGTAGTCAGTCTGGTTTAACCTTTTTTTTTTGTAGCCTGGTTTGGCAGGTTGTGTTTAAGCACTGACACTTGCCCTGAGTAGTCTGGGAAACCTGCAGGTTATCAGTTCAAGTCAACAAACCCTTATCTCATTTTTCATGCAGTTCCAGCCCTAAAGGTTTTAAAAGTGTGTAACTAAGCACATTTCAAAGGGGTGATCCATGTAGCATATCATTAGATGTGTGCATTTTCTGTTTTTATTGTGTTTATTCGGGTAGTCTGTGAGACAGCCATTTCAGCTCAGCATTAGATAGCTACTGTCTATAACTAATAAAAGTACTGAGTTGAATATTTGGTCCTTTTCTGACAGATGGAGAGCTTGTTGCCAGCAGCACACTGATACACACTCTGCTGGACAAGGACTTCAAGCTTGTCATCAATAATGCAGTTTATGATGTCCAGTTGCCTCAAATGGGTATAAACTTTCTCCAAGCATAAATGATCCCCATGTTCTCTGCTTTGCATTTATGTAGAGACCTGCTGATGAAGTGCAGGTACCTCTCCAGGCATGATGCTTCTCATCTCACTTTCTCATCATCATCCACCTTGTTGTGCTTTTGGTTGCAGTGCGTGCATCCAGTGAACATACCATGGAGCTGCAGGATATACAGCATGTTGTACATCTGCTGCACACAGCCCTCCACCTGCCCAACCACCACCTGCTGAAAGAACAGCAGCTGCTGGAAAAGCTGGACAACCTCAAAGAAGAACTTTCACCTCTAGAGAAGGTAGTAGAAGGTGTTGGGTGTTAGACATTTTATCTGCTTCTGTGCCTGTTTATCTCATTATTAGTGCTTTGAAAGTGACCAATGGCATCGTCCTGTTAATTGTGTTGAGCAGTCTCCTACAAACTTGTATTATTGCTTGACAGGTGAAGGAACAGCTGTCCCATACAGCAGAGATCAGGTCATCCAGGGCTCTCTGGATTGGCCTGGCCCTGTTATCTGTGCAGGGTGGCGCTCTAGCCTGGCTCACCTGGTGGGTCTACTCATGGGACGTCATGGAGCCTGTCACGTACTTCATCACCTACAGCACCAGCATTGCAGCCTTTGCATATTATGTTCTTACCAAACAGGTAAGTCTCAGGAAAAAAAATAGATTCTCTTCTGGCTATAGCTCTCAATGAATTTAACATTTTGAGAAATGTGCATACTTACTTGCATATGAAGCTACAGCAAGCAGCCAGTTAGCTTCACCTAGACTTGAAACAGGGGAAAACAACTATTCTGCCTTTGTCCAGAAGTAAAAAAAACTGTCCCTGTGATGTTGCTAGGCCTCCAGTAGACATGTCGAGAAGTCACAAGGTCCGGCCAAGAAATACCCTGGCACTTAACCCCCTTTAAAGTGTTGAAAGGTCATTTTTACACTGAGGTTTTGTATATCTTAAACAAATGCAACATATATAAAGTTAATTTATGTGCTTTACATGTGGTGGTACACAGATTATATTAACTTTTAGACAGAGTCTGGCTGGCTGTTTCCTCCACTTTCCAGGCTTTATGCTAAGTTAATCAAACTGCTAGCTATCTGCTAGGTGTAGCTTCATATTTAACCTGTGATGAAAGTGATATGTTCTCAACTGTTACTACATATACCCAAACCCAAAGCTCAGCTCTACAAAATCATGCATATGTTTATATATACTATTGGTCCTTCTACACTAAGTCTACTTTATTCTTTCCATCAGGATTATGTGTATCCAGATGCTAAAGACAGACAGTTCCTGCATTACTTTTATAAGGGAGCCAGGAAGAAGGAATTCAATGTGAAAAAATACAATGAGCTGAAGGATGAACTGGCTCAGGTTGGTTGATTTGTTTGCTGTATTTAGTTCTACATTTGCCACAGATACTAGTTTAGAATCAGAAACAGAAGGAACCTGTAATATACACTCACCGGGCACATTGATTTGTATATACCAAATCACAAGTAATCTCAGAACACTTTACAAAGTAAAGTATAGCCCTCACTGTTATTATTGTTATTATTATTAGGAGTGCATACAATTGTGCAGGTGTACCTAATAAAGTGGCCAGTGAGTATACATCTAAATGTAATGGAAAAAAATTAAAGATAAATTCTAGCATTCAAATCTGAAAACATGGAAATAATTAATAATAAATGTAACAGTTTGATAATTAGGACCAACGGCCTTGTGGAAATCCCAGTAAATGACTCTTTAGTAACGTGTCCTGTGCGACTCTCTAACAGGTGGAGGAGGACCTGAGGCGGCTGAGATTTCCAACTCAGCTGAAGCTACCACTTGAACAGATCCAGCCAAAGTCATGAATAAAGCAAGGCCATGAAGGTTTTGTCACTCACACAAAGCAAAAAAAAAAAACTTTTTTGCTTTATTTTGATAGCGGCACCTTTTTACCAGGAATCATATCATGTTTTGTTTACAAACTTGAAAATGATGCTAATTATATCTGATAAATACCGAGGACCTAAAATAAAGTGTTCCCCTATTAATAGGAGTGTTTTCTGTCTGAACAAGGTCGTCTTATGGAACTCTCAGAGGTGTTGTGACTGTAGTTACTGCTGATGGACAGAACCCTGATTCATTATATAAGATGGAGATTTGTTTACAATTTCAGGGTACAAGTGTCATAAAGACATCACATGAATACTTTTTTTTTTTTTTTACACAAAATGAAGGTTTTTATTAAACAAAATCACTGTGTGAGTATAAAGTAAATGTCACACGAAACGTATTGTACAAAATCACAACAGTAAGGCCATTAAAATACAAGTCCAGAGGATGCTATTGTGCTTGCTTTTTCCTGAGTCATACATCATGTGCCAGAGCTTTGTGTTTTAGGTTTCACAGCACGACCCAATCCCTAAGGTATCAAGCCCTGAACCCTCAAGACTTAAGTGGCATCACCTGTAAGTGACTGAGTGCAAGAGTCTGCAAGGGCTGGAAACTGTATCAACAGGAATGTGACTTACACTATCACATCACCATGACAACGCCAAAATTAGTGTTTGTTTACTGTTAGTCCTCTTTATTTTTCTTATGTCTGTTTTCATTGGCATTTTACTTTTTACGCTTCCAGCCTTCCCCAGGCAGGCTAATCCCATGTTTCATGTCACAACGCTATGAAATGTGGGGATTTCCCTCAGGCAGAGTCTGCAGAATTGCTAACTTATGGAAAGTAAGCATAAAGCGCTCAGAATGGAGGCGAGAGATCCCTCATACACTTGACAATTTCATAGTGTGACAGCCCTGAGCCCTCGTTAACTCAGTGGGAATGTGGATCTGTGAGCGTGGACAGTGGGATTGGGTCCATCTGTTTAAAAGGCCACCGTTTCTCCCTGAGCTACTATCAGCTGCAAATATGCATTATTAAATGTAGTGCTGTAAAGTGCAACAAGACAAAGAACAGCACAAACACAAATTCCCTTTTAGAGGGACCACATTGAAGACAGCGTGTTTATGTAGTGTCTGGATGTAGTGTGTTAAGAGATTTTAGGTGATCATTAGTGCTTACAGAAACACTGAACAAAGTCATTGCTAGTACCTGGTTATTGTGGTGTTCTGTTACCTCAGAATTACCTGACATTTCCAGTTTCTCCAGAGACAGTCTGAGAAAGCTTTCCCTCAACAAGGACACTGTGAACAACCCTGCAGTCTTAAAGCAAGTAGTTGAAAAATGTGCACTGAGCTACTGGGCTTGAACACAGTAACAAGAACATCTTACTGCATCATGCAATCAGTACAAGAAGACCAGAAATTATTGTCAAGAAATCAAGTTACTGGAACAAAATACTCCCATTATAGTCTTTATAAAGTAACTAACTAACTTGGCTTAGCTAACCCAGCTGATTATTCAATGTAAATAATAGTGTTCAGAGAAAAATAGAGAAAAGAAAAAAAAAATCGCTAAATACTTTTAAAAGCTCCCTGCAGGAGACCCCATTTCCCAAGCAGTAATATAAAACCAGCTTTTTAATGATTAAGGTTTGAAATGGTTACTTTTTTGGTCGGAAGTAGAGATTCTTGGTCAGCATCGAAGCAAAGCATGGTACTTGCTTCTTCCCAATGGCATTCTGATCCCTAGCTTTCCCAACGCTCCTCATGGACACTTTTCTGTTGACCAGTGTAAGTAACCGTGTGAATTCAAGAGAATCCCCATACTTCTGAAACAGCTCACACAGGTCCTGGACATACCAGGAGCCATTGATGGTCTCCCGGTGGGAATAATAACCTTAACAAATGACATAGAGAACAGGACAGCTACTCAGTGAGCAACAAAAAGGACATTTAAAGACATATATCTGAGATAATTCCCTCTAGCTCCTGAATAGGATTACTGTTGTAACCTGAATCAAATAAAGGGTGAATCCACCCATCATGCTAGTTTACAAGCAGATTAAGATTTTTTATTCATCCCAGTTAGCTCACCTTCAGCCACAGAGTAGCACATAATGAAATCAGCTCCAGCAGGGAGGGTGTGTATGGCGCTGGCATCTACCACCACCTCATTTGTATCTGCCTCACTGTCCACAGCATCACAAGGCATCACTGGGTCGTCATGCTTGTCTCCGCGGCATGCCTGTCAGCCACAGTCACATTTTCGAAAACTATGATTTTCTGAGTAAAGCGTTAAAAACAGGTCACTGTTGTCATATTCTCATGAGTTTTAATGGCTTTTGGATTTTGTTCACATGTACCTGGAGTATAAAGATCTTCGGCTTTCCTACAAGGCTGCTGCACTTAGTTCCTTTGAACATGGAGGTGATGTCCTGAATGCTGATCTTGCCATCATTTGCGTAAATATGGTCATCCTCACCGTGGCTCAGGAAAACAACCAAAAAGCAGTCTGCATCCGAGTGATCGTCCTCTGCAGCTGGTGGGACAAAATGTCATTTGTTAAACTTGCAAGTAAAGGAGCCAAAATGGACTGTACTACAGCATATCACATGGAGGGCAAGGTAACCAGTTAAACCACAGTAATAATGTTATACTGCTGATTCCTGAATAGACATTAGTCATTTGGGGCTATAGACAATCATATATGTGCTTACCTTTGCTGAGTATATCCAGCACTTCCTCCTGTCTGCGGTCAACATAAGTCTTTACTTCAAAGTCTAGCTCCTTCAGTCTAAAAGAGAAGGAAGAAGTATGTAACACTATGTACTGCTAACATGTTTCCACAGAAAACACTTAAATCAGGCAAACAAGTTCAGACAAGTTCTGAGGAAACAGCGCTCCCCTTCAGCAGCTGACTGAGTCATACCTTTTCTCCAAGCTGTACTGATCAGCATTGGTTCCATATCTGTCATTCATCCCCAGTTTCCAGAAGAAGTGCTCGTGGTTAAAGATAATTGCAAGGCCTCGTCGTCTGTGGTTCATCCTGTACTCCTCCGTAGGATCCAGCGCTGAAGAACTGTTTTATAAAAAAACAAAGAAGTACTGACCAGCTTGACACTCAACCATTCCAGCTGATAACCACTGAAAAACGATGAAACAGATTACCCTCCAAAGAAGGAATCCACCTCTGTTTCGTTCCCCATGCCTGCAATAAACAAAACAAACGCACACATGAGTAGCCCAAGCAACAGTGTAGAATATAACTGCTGAACAATAACATTGTTAAGCAGTACAACTACAGGTTCCTGAATTGCTCCACTGCTGCTGGTATGGGGTCAAGCAGCCATTGTTCCATCAGCTTAGAGTCTTCATGCCCCTCAACAGATGGGTGGCAGGTGGAGAAAGATGCCAAAGGATTCTAAAAAAGTAACAGATTTATACTCCACCCCATAGATATATAGGTCACGCACGTTGTGTTATGGGAGCAGCAGAGGTGTTTGGCAGCTTAAAAGACATTTCGGAAGTGATAGTCCGTATTTTTACATGGCTTTGAATGGGATTTTATGTCTGTGGGGTGGTTTTGGTTTCTACACTCATCTGGCAGTTTATTGGGAGGCACCTAGAAAAAAAACCCAATGCAGTCTACATCCAACAGTCTGCAATACACCCCATGTTCATAAAGGCTAATGTTTAGTTCTTCTTATAAAGGTGTTGAATCAACTTTACATATCTTATTTTTGGAGGCTCTACCCTGAAATGGGTTTTTAATATTTGTAAAGTATGAAACATTAAACTGCATTTAACTACATGTAGGTGCACCTAATATACATATAGGAATGTAGTAAGTCAGTACAAATCAGATTAGCTTGCTGGGCTGTCTTATTTTTATTGCTCAGTTTTTACCAAGTGCCTTTATAACTCCATGTTTATCAGGGTTACGTAAAATTCATTCCTGTTGACATGAAATGCAGTCAAAATGAAAGTGGTTTACGTTATTAATCATTAACATGACTGTAATACTTCACCTTCACTGGCAATAAATCTCTTCCTAACTTTGCTTCAGTTTCACTACGTTGTGACTTTACCGTGTTGTTATTCTTGAGACAACAGCATCATAGGACACTATTTAAAAAGCATGTAGCGTTATATGCCAAGGTGGTGGAAGGAACTTACCTGCACTGTCGGTTTCTGTTTTGCTGTACTTAGCAGCACTTCCTGAAAAGGTGGAACAACGAGCAATTAACGCTAAGTCCTGAAAATGGTTTCATGACATAAAAATCCTACATTACACGTTGTACTAACTTGGTGACTGACTGAAAATAAAGAAAACTTACAGTAAAGGCGTCACAGAACTTATGTAACGTTACAACATTGTAAGGTTAAACAATTACAGGAGTTCAGAGTTTGTCTGCTTTCAATTAAAAAAAAAGTAGTTTCTACCTTCAGGTTTGTCCCCTTTTCTGTTAGACATGTTCTTAAAACGACCTCACTCCCACGGACTCCGCAGAAAAATGATTGTGTTTCGTTAATGCAACATGAGTTGTACCAGGTCTGAGCTCCGCCCCCGCAATCACATTGGCTGAAAGTGAAAATCAGACAAGACGATTGGCTCTAGTGATAAGTAGATGAGGCGTCATGAAGCGTTTCGACACATTTCCAAACTGTATTGATACTGTGTCACTGAATACTGACACCTGCTGGACCTTAAAAATCCCTACAGGCAACCTAGTTGACAGACTCAACTGACACTGATTTGATGACCTAGTGTTAGGTAATTTCTTAGTTAGATAGATATTGATTAGAGATCTGTTGTATTAGAAGATGTTAGTGTAGCCAGGATGTCTTCCTCAGGCTGTTAAATGCAAGGTTAGTTAAAGCAGAGAAAGGCTGCAGTCAGGGATAAATGTTATTATGACAGTAAAAGTAACCATAATATTTTTCTTAATGTGAATTGTTGTGTTACAGTGTTTTTAGATACACACCACATAATCAACATTCACACACATTATTTTCTTCATGTTTTGT